AAAAGAGCACGCCCCCCACCCCCCCAAACCTACACCTCTTATCTTTCTCTCTCTGTCCCCCCCCCCCCCAACAACATCGAGCTGTGGTATATATCAAGCGTAGTAGAAAGCAGGTATGTATCAACTGGTCTTGTCAGTGGGTTTACAGCGGTGGTGGAGCTGGTCGTGGCTGTCTCCTGCTCCCCGCGTGGGTTGGTGGTGCCTTGCGGTCACCTACCTTTTTTTGCGGGCCGCTGATGGAAACGTACTGCTCCAGTCGAAACAGCAGCATGCGCATGCGCTGACCCCCCCCCCCCCCCCCCCCCCCCCCCCCTTCTACCAATCTGCGAGTGTGGCGTGTAGTGCTGATGGAGCTAGTCATAATCACCTTTTGTCAGCCGCCACGTGTTGTGTCCGACTTTGATGCTGCTGCTTGAAAACCTGCCTGATATTGTTGCTTCTTGTCGTGGCCAATTCATGGATTCACCTCATTCGTTGCAACAGGGCCACAGATGGCCATGACTGTCAAGGGTGCGATCGTGGCGATGGTGCTGCTGCTGGTTCAAGATGCGGCTTTAGCCAGTTGCAACGTCGATTATCGGCTGCCGGCGGCAACTACGCTGGCATCGGGCTCACAACCGCACGGCGTGGTGGCGGCTGTTCTGGACTCTGGTACCCCATTTCTCGACGTAGCGTACATCGACTTTGGAGTCGGCAGTGTGATGGTGATGACGCGGACGGGTGGCGGTGGATGGAATGTGCCGGCCTCGATTGATTCGACGAGGACGCAGCCGCGAACGTCTGCGGTGGGAGATGTCGACGGAGACGGCTCACCAGACTTGATTGTGACCTTTGCAGCCGCCGGCTCCAATGCCATTGTTCTTTACCGCAACATCGGGTGGGATGCAACGTTTCCCGTGTCTGGTCTGCTGCAGTCGTACGCGGTGCCAGTTGGTGGCGATCCAGACGGCGTGGCCATCGGCGACATCAACGGCGACTCGCTGGTGGACGTTGTCTTTTCGCTCGCCATAGCAGACGTCATCGGCGCCTTCATGGGCACTGGCCCTGGCACACTAGCAGCGGCACCGATCGATTTGACGTCCGCACTCCCAGCCGCACCGTCGCAGCCGTCGCAGGTCAGCATTGTCGATGTCGACGTTGACGGCATTAACGACGTCGTCTACGTCGAGGCTTTTGGCGATCGCGTCATTGTCATGGCCGGGCGGCCCGACATTGCATCCACGCTGGCGACATCGGTGGCGGTCGTCGACTCGGCTGCCGACACGCCGTTTAGCTTTGACGTCGGTGACGTCGACGCAGATTCCCTGCCCGACATTGTCGTCGCTCTCTTTGCCGAGGACAAGATCGCGCTGTACGTCAACCTCGGCGATCTTGCCTTTTCGTCTCGCATTACACTGGCGTCGGAGATGGATGCACCCCTGACCGTGGCCATTGCAGACCTCAACAATGACGGTGCCGTCGACGTTGTCTTTTGCGCAACATTCAGTGATGTTGTCCGCTGGATCCCGGGCAACGGCGCTGGCGGCTTTACAGCCGCCCCGCAGCGCATCGACGACGCCCTCAGCGGCGCGCGCAACGTCATTGTCCATGACTTTGACAGCGACGGTGCGCTCGACGTGATGGCGGCAGCGTTCTTCGGCGGCGAGGTCAAGCTATACACCTTTGACCCATCGCTCTCGCCGTTTCCTTATGGGCGGCGGCTTATCTCGAACACCGCCAATGGCGCGCGCGGTGTAGACGCAGCCGACTTTGACGGCGACGGCGCAACCGATGTGGTCTCGGCCTCGTCATTCGATAACTCGATTGTAGTGTACTACGGCGACGGCACAGGCTACCACCTCGGCAACGAAGTTTCTGTCTCGGGAGTAGCCGACGGCGTCGAGTCGGTCGTTGCTGCAGACTACGACGGCGATGGTTGGACGGACATTGCATCAGCCTCGTCCGGCTCTGGCGCCATTGAGTGGTGGCGCAACATTGGCAAACGAAACTGGGCACCGAGCCCGATGGCCATCGGCACATGCGACGGCGCGATGAAGATGTCTGGAGGCGACTTTAACAACGACGGCCTTCCCGATCTTGTTGCGGGCTGTGCCGATGCGCCGTCGCCGTCGATTTCGGCGTACATCAATGGCGATGACGGCTCGACATGGACGGTGCAAGTTGTGTACTCGACACCGTTAATAATCACCAACATGGACACTGCCGTAGGCGATATTGATGACGACGGCTTTGTCGACGTCCTGTTTGTGGCGTCGTCGGTTCGGCTCGTTGGCTGGGCGTCCAACGCTGGCGGTACCGGCTTCCTTCCCCCGACTACCATCGACACGCTTGCCATTGGGTTCACCATCGCTGCTGCACTCTGCGATGTCGATGACGACGGCGATCTCGATGTGATTTCTGCGGTCGCTAACGGCGGGGGCTCGGCTATATCGCTGTACACCCAGACGGCGCCGGGAACGATTTCGTCGACGCCAACCGACCTCGGCGGCTCGTACAACCTGCCGTACTCGATTTCATGCCGCGACGCGTCTGGCGATGGCTTTCCGGACGTGGCTGTGGCGTCCTACTCCTCGGACCAGATCTCGTGGCTCCGCAACCGCGGGCTGGGCGATGGCACATTTGAAGCACAGGAGATTCTGACGTCAACCAGCATCGGGGCATACCGGGTCAAGATTGTCGACGTCAACAACGACGGCTTCAACGACTTGCTCTGCGCCGGCAACGATGACGACACCATCGAGTCCTTCATCCAGCGCCCCGTCCTCAACGCAACGCCGATGCCTGCGGCCTTGCCGCCGCATCCGGCAGCGGTTCCACTCAAGGTCACAGACATCTACACAGCACTGAACACGGCTTCGCAGTGCACGCCGCAGCGGATCGAGCTCGCAGCGGGCTCGGTTGTGGTCGGCGGGTGCTCGGCCGACGGGTACCTGACGGTGCCGGCCGGCGCGATGTGGACCATTGCGGGCCCTGCCGGCGTCGCACCGGCCCTTCGGCCGCGGATCGACTGCGGCAGCGCTGGCGGTGTGATGTTTGAGGTTGGCGCCGGCGCTCAGCTCAAAATGACAGACGTGGTTCTCGCTGGCGCTACAGTCGGGTCCCAACCGTCGGCTGTGACAGGCCTCCGAGTCAGCGGCTTGGACGCGACGCTTCGCTTGGAGCGGGTTCTGGTGACCGGCTTTTCCTCTCAGGCTGCGTCGGAGCTGCAGGCGATGTCGGGCATTGGCGGCAGTCTGGCCGCGGTTGATGGCGGGAGACTGGATGCCCTCGACTCGGCCTTTGACTCGAATGTGGCCAAGGGTGTGGGCGGAGCAGTGGCGCTGGTGGGCAGCGCTCCATCGGCGCACTTTACCAACTGCAGCTTTGTGGCAAACACCGCGCTTGGAGGCGGCGGCGGAGCAGTCGCTGTCCTTGGCTCGAGTGCATCTGTGGTCTTTGACTCTGGCTCGACGCTAGCGAGCAACTCTGCGCCGTACGGATCAGGCGGCGGGCTACTGGTGACCGAGACCGCAGAGGGTGCGATGGTGGCGGTGAACCAAACGCAGATCGACGACAACGTCGCCGGCAAGCTTGGTGGAGGGGTGGCGGTGTTTGAGCCGCTCGGCTGCAGTGTCCGGCTTGGTGCCGGCGCGTTAGTGAGCAATAATGAGGCCCGCGCCGGCGGCGGAGTCTCGGCCGTCCACGCTGGGTATTACGAGCCGGAGAGGACCGATTTTGTGGCTGCCGATCTCCCGCGGGCAGCCGCAGCAAGCTTGCCGGACCATTCGGTAGTGGTGCTTGGAATTGGTGCTGTGATCTCCGGGAACAGCGCTCGGTACGGCGGGGCGTTCTTTGGGTGCGGCGCGCACATTGACGCCAGCGCGGCGGTTGCATCCGCACCACCGACGGCAAGCGTGGGTGGAGGTGTTGGCTTCTTTTGCGTCGACGCCAACAACACGCTCCCATCGCCGGCACTGTGGCTGAGTGCGCCTGCAGGCGGAGTGGCTGGTGCGAGTGCAGGCGGCTACGGCGACATGTACGCGACGCCACCAGTGGCGCTGGCGGTAGAGGAGACTACGCCTGGAGTGACGGCATCGGGCATGGTGTTTGGCCGCGGGACGTTGAGTGCGAGCGACGGGCTTGGCCAGCAAGTGGTTGATGCCGGATTGTCGCTTGGAGTTGCGCCGCTGGACAGTCATGTGATAGTGACGGGTGCTGAGCGCGGGGTGGCGTTTGTGGCGGTGGACGGGCTCGCGCATCTTGAGCTCATCAGCGCAGCTGCCGACGGCAGCCTCCTCCCGCTTGACGCATCACTGAAGCTGAGCCTGGTGCGGAGCAGCGAAGAGACGGCGGATCCAGAGGTGTCGACAAGTGTGACAATGCGGATCACGGCGTGCCCGCGTGGATTGGGCTCGGACACCCAGTCTGCGCTGGCAAGCAACGTGCTCGTGTGCTCGCCATGTGACGAGGGCTCGTACTCGGACGTCGAGTCTATTGAGCCGTGCCGTGCGATTCCGGCGTGCCCGGCGTTCTCGCTGCGGCCAGGTTCGGCCAACACGACGCATCTGGTGGCGTGCATGTGCAAGGCCGGGACGTGGTCGCCCGAAGCGCCGCTAGTGACCGCATGCCGCCCGTGCCCGGTCGGCGCGGTGTGCGTAGGCGGCGGTGAGAGGCCCAAGGCAATGTACGGCTGGAAGCTGATCGACACAGCAACGTTTCGGTTCGCCGAGTGCCCGATCGCCTCGGCGTGCCGCGGCGGGTTTGTCGAGCCCGAGTGCGGACCCACGTACAACCCGGACTCGTACCTTTGCCGGCAGTGTGCGGCCAACAGCTACCGCAGCCGTGACGGAGGGTGCGTCAAGTGCCCCCAGGCAGCGATCTCGCGGCTGTATCTGTTTGTGGGCCTGGCCGCCGGCATTGCGTTTGGATCGGTGATTGTGATTGCGGCAGCGACGCGGGCGATCAAGGCCGAGACCGAGGACGACGCGCTGCTGATGAGCGAGTCGCAGGCTGCGGCTCGAATTGCTGCGTCTGCGTCTGCGATGACCCTTGCGGCGCGGAACGTGGTGATGCACGCCATGCGGCGAAAGCCGATCCCACACGCGCTTGGGGTGGCGTTTGTGTACCTGCAGGTGCTGGGCATTCTCGCCGATGCGCCGTTCAACTGGCCCGAGTCGCCGGTGGGGCGGATTCTGCGGACGGCCAACGTGGCGAACATCGACCTGGGCATGTTTGCCACAGACTGCACCATCAAGGACTTTGGCACGCGGTACGCGTTCTCTGTCCTCGCGCCTGCGGCGTTCTTTTGCCTTGTCGGGCTGTTTGTGGCCGGTATTAAGAGCCTCCCTCGGTGCTTCTCGTGCGTTGCCGACACACATCTGGATCGGGTGTCGGGGTGGACGCTCGGCGGGCGACTGCTGTTTTCGTTTGGCCCGCTGCTGTACATCCCGCTCTCGCGGGCCGCGCTGGTGTTTTTTGATTGCACCAAGCTGCCCAATGGCAAGTACTACCTCGACGCAAACCTCGATGAAGAATGCGGTTCGGAAGCGTGGCTGGCGCTCCTTCCGCTGGCGATTCTGGCAGTAATCGCGTATGTAGTGGCACTGCCTGCGCTGTTTGGCGTTGTGCTCTGGCGGAACCGCAAGTCGCTGTCGTCGACCGAGGTACTGATGCGGTACGGGCCGATCTACACGGCATACCGGCAGGCGTACTTTTGGTATGAGGTTGCGCTACTGCTGAAGCGGCTAGGCGTGGTGGCAACGGCGCTGTTCTTCTCGCGAGTCGATGTGTGGCTCTTCACACTTCTGGTCGGCATCTTCATGGTGAGCGGAGCGTTCCAGCTCAAGCACGAACCGTTCTTCTTCCCGCTCCATAACCAGCTGGAGACGCGGCTCAACGGGGCGGTCCTTGTCTTGCTTGGATGTGGAGTCTTGTTCTGGGCAGACAAGTTCTACAACCGGATGACTTACCTGGCGATTGTGGTCATTGCGGTGGCGTCGATCGGGTTCTCTGTGGTGCTCCTTGTCACGACCTCATTCCGCGAGGTGAGAGCGACGTTCCGATACCATCGGCGCAGGCGGCGGACGCGGCAGGCGCCGGGCGAGGGCGAGCTGGATATCAACGCACTCTCGATCCGTGATGAAGTGTTCCTCTCGCTCTTGGCGCGGCATGTGAGCGATCTAGAGAACCCGGCACTGTCAAGCCCGCTACTCGATGTGCAGTCGCGGTTCGAGACGCGGCGCAAGCCGCCGCTGCTGCCGGGCCTGGCAAGCGGGAGCTCTTCCGAGCTGACAGACAGCAGCTCGGGAGACGGGTCCTTAGCCGAGGCTGTCGACGCTACTCGCATGGTTACTTTTGTTGAGCCTGTGGGGAGCACATGCTCGTCGTCGGACTCGCTCTCGATCTCTTTGGCGCCCAGTGCGTCGCAGTCGATGTCGCGATCAGCATCGCGGTCTATGTCGCGGTCAGCGTCGCGGTCGAGGTCGCCTGCGTTTGGCTCGTCGCCAGCCATTGCGGCCGGCTTATCAGCACCATCGTCGACGTTGGCACCGAGCCGGAGGTCCAACCCTGTGATTTCGCGAACCGCGCCTGCTCCACGTAAAGCAGCTAGCTAAGCGCAGATAAAAAACAATTGACCACTACTCTGATGATGTTGATGCCTTTGCTGTGCTGATGGGGCACGGCGGGCGACAAAAAAAAGGTTGCCGCGGTAATCAAACGAACGAACAATCGAGCAAACGTCAAGTCGAACGTATGAATAATGGACGGTTCGGTTCATGTAGCTTTCAGGCGAATTGGGCAAAGTGCGACACGAGGCCGGCCAAGGGGGGAGAGGGGCAGGCAGCAGGGGGGGAGGGAGAGGGGGGGGGGGAAAGGAGTAACACTACGCTCTACCAGAAGCCCCCGCCTCCCTCTTCGACATAGAGTATACAGGTAGAGTTGGTTTCGAGGTAGTTCTGTTTTTTTGTGAGCTTACTGCCTTCTCTGTACCCCTCTCCAGTTGACGGACCGGCTAGCCAGAAGGTGGCCAGAGGCAAAGTCAGCCAAGCAGACGACGAGAACAGCGACAAGCAGCAGGACCAAGACCAGGACCAGAACCAGGACCAGGACCAGGACCAGGACCAAGACCAGGACCAACAGCAAGAACAGCTACCAACTACGACTTAGGTCAAAGACGTCAGACGATGGAGCACATGCCACCGCCACCGGATGACATTCCCCCGCCACCTATGGTGACGGGAGAGTTCCTTCCCCCTCCGCCGCTCGAGGACCTAAACGTAGGAGGAGACGGTCTCCCACCGCCAGACGTCACTGCTTTGCCTGTTGACCTGCCGCTACCTGACTTTGGCGTTGCCTCGGACGTTCCGCCACCGCCTGACCTGGACGAGCTGGCTGAGCCGGACAACGTCAACAAGATCGATCTGCTGCCGACGATGGCTGGAGGCGATGTCGGTACGGGTAGCGCGGCCGGGGCCGGGGCCGAGGCTGATGGCGTCGGGGGAACTTTCCGCTGCCACCGGATGACTCGCCCGCTCCACCGCCACAGGGAGGCGGCCTTGACTTTATTCCGCCGCCGCCGGACGACGAGGCACCGCCGCCGCCGACGCATGCTACTGCGGATGGCGAGGAGAGCGGAGGGAGCATGGTGCCAGCAGGCGGTGATGCGGGAGCCGACGCTGCCGTTGGCGGCAGCGAGTATGCCGGGGCCGACATCGAGTCGTCGGCCGGACCGTCGTCGCTGGGTACTTGGGACGGCGAAGAGTCGTCGTTTGACGCGTCGGTCTATGCCAAGTCGTCCAAGCTCATGGATCCGCTGGGCGCGGCAGCGGCGGCGACCAAGGCGCATAACCTTCCGGCGATGGATATCGAGCCGCTCAAGGGCCGGAGTGTGGCTGAGCTGCTAAGCGAGTTTCCGACGCCACCGGGAGTGGTGATCGACGAAGGCCTATCCGAGGCGGAGGAGCTGGAGAAGTTCCAGGCGTTGATGGTGCGAGCGTGTAAGGGCGCGAACTTGATTGCGGCGTCGGAGCGGACGGAGCTCGACGAGTGGATGGTGAAGAAGGCACCAGCGACGGTGGAGTCGCTGCAGCGCGAGGTGCACCAGTCGTTCCTCAAGGGCGCCAAGGGCCTCGGCAAGTCGATTGCCAAAAAGGTGACCAAGTCGAACATCCCCGTGGTCGAGCTCTCCAAGTACTGGCTCGACTTTGGCGGGTACTCGCGGAGCAACGTGTGCCCGCTGGCGCGCGAGCTCACGCAGACGATCAAGGTGACGAACAAGACGAAGAACAAGGCCAAGCTGAGCCTCATCATGCCTGCCGAGACGTATGGGTACACGTTTATTGCGGACGTGACCGAGGCGCTGCTGAAGAAGAAGCAGTCTGTGGACATCACATTCTCGCTCAAGGTCGACAAGGGCTCTGCGGTCATCACGCACGTGGTGGTGGTCGAGGTGGAGGGCGGAGCGCGGCATCTTGTGCCGATCAACATTGTGGCGGAGGACTCTGTGTTTGGCATTCCGCACGAGCAGCAGATCGTGGTGGAGGACAACGGGTTTTCCATCCCGCAGCCGCTGGCGCTCCTCCGGGCGGCGTTTCTGGCCAACGGTGGGCTCACGCACTCGAACATCTTCCGCGGCTCGGTCCTCGAAGACGAGCTGCAAGATACCAAGGACTTGCTCAACCGCAAGCAGTTTACCGCCAACTCGACAACCAACATCGAGATCATCGCGGCGCTGATCAAGGTCTGGTACCGCGAGTGCGAGCCGAACCTGCTCAACACGGTCCCCATCGAGTCGTTTGACGCATGCGACTCGGAGGCGCAGTGTCTCGAGCTTCTCGAGTCAATTCCCGAGCCGCACCTCAACCTCCTCAAGTACCTGCTTGTCTTTCTTGCAGACGTCGCTCGCAACGAGTCGGTCAACGGCATGTCCGTCCGCAACCTCTCCATCGCCATGGCGCCGAATCTCATCAACCTCGACGACATCTCGCCCATCGAGGCGCTCACTATCTCGCAGCGCGTTGTCGGCTGGCTCTATATGTGCCTCTCGTCGACGCTGCACACGCTCGCTCTCTCGACCACGTAACGGCCTGTAAATGAGCAGCGAGCGAACACAACACACATGCACCCATGTGACGATCTTCATCTCACTTGAACCAAACGGAAACAGGCTCGCCATCAACAACAGCACCATCCATGCGCTCAACGGCCAGGGCAGCACCAGCTGAGCGGGTAAAGGCAACATCAAAGGTACCAGGCCCAACAGCCTCGACAGCAGCCACGGCACCAAAGGAAGCCATCATCTCAGCCACATGCTCAGACTCGACACGCTCCGACAGACCCGTCAGCCAAATGCTCGCCATAGACTGGGTCCCTTCGCCACCGCTCCCGCCACCACCCATACGTGTGCTTGTTTTCATGCCGCTACCTGTAGTCTTCTTCATGTTGCCCTTTGTCCTGCTGTCCGCCCCTTCGAGTCGAGTCTAGCCTCCCTTGGCTTGTGTCGTCGTCGCCGGCGCGCCCGTCGACGCAGCCTGACTCGGCCGACTATTTTGCGTTGACTTGCGATTCGGCGACGACATCGAGGGATATGTCAAATGCTGATCGTAGTTGTACGCGCATAGACGGGAGAGAGCAGGCGGAGATGAGAAGATCAAGGTGCGTGTGGGGGGGGGGGGGAGGGACTTGGTCGAGGATGTGGTGCAATCTAAAAATCGTGATCAAGTGGCGAGCTTGGGACGGATTCCAGAAGCGATGCCAATGTCGATACTCTATGCGGTTGTTGGCAAGATAGAATGGTTTCGAGGTAGACGGGGCCTAAGAGGGTACATGGTGACAGTAGGAGAAGCATGGCGTTGTTTGCGGGCGAGATCGAGATACGGAGAGTCAGATTGTGATTAACTCTTAGACCCATTTATTGTTGCACCCAGCCAACACCTCCGCACACCCCGATCCATTCACGTGCAACTACCCCTGCTCCCAACACCCACACCAGAGCCAGCCCCCACCAGCTTTGCCTCTTGCTCGTCTTCCCTGTCGCCTCCTTCCCCGCCCATTGCCCAGATCAAGCCTTGCCGAAGTAGCTACGATTAACTGTTGTTCCGTTTATTGTTCCGGCGACCGTTGGCTGGGACTCGCGGCCACACTCAACTCCAGGAGCGGACGACGGCGAGTGGAGGAGAAGGGCGAGGCTCTGGAGGTGGAGCAGGATGAAGGTGCTCATTGTCAACTGTCATCCGGATACCTCTGACGTGGGTCAGGCAGTCTTCCATGAGTTTGAGGAGGCTGTGCGGAACTCACTGGCTTCGACAGGCGACGTGGTGGAGGTCCATGTTGCGGGCATGGACGATTTGGACGATTATTTGTACATTTCTCCTGCCAATTCGAGTCTGGCGCCGATGCCGAAGCGATTGAAGGAGAGTTTGATGGACAAGCGGGCACTGCTGTTGTTTGATCGATTGGATATGATCTTCATCGATGGCCCACACGTCCTTGCTCCGTGGGCTCCGGCTGCCCGCAAAGCCTTTGTCCTCCTTCACATGTGCTTTGAGACTGGCAAATGCCTCTTCGGCTCGGCCTTTACCGCACACATGCTGACATACATGGCAGCTACGGGCGGGGTTTACGAACGGGTTGGATGGTCAGGATCTGTGGGCGGGAAGCTCGATCAGCTCAACACGCTCTCGTCGTCGCGATCGCGGTTTCTCAACAACGAGACCGGCGATGTGTACCGTAAGGTGAGCTCGGCGCCTGCGCCTGTGTGGGAGCCGGTCTTCAACGTCGGTCTGCGGCAGCACTCGTCGCGGAACCGATCGCACATCCGGTACACGCCGCGGATTCCGTCGTCCAGGGTAAGTTTGCGGTGAGTGTTGATCCTGCGGTCCGCAACGAGACGTCGCGGATCAACGTCCACTTTCGGGCGCATTGGCTCTTTGCCGACATGACCTCGAACGAATTTACGGTCCCTGCCAAGCACTCGTGGGACATCTGCCTCTCGCCGCTAGCGCCGGTCGCAGTCGACGTCCTCGCCGCCAACGACTGGACGCCGACCATCATCGAGTACGGGCACATTGTGGCGTGCAAGTTTGACGTGACACCAAAGGCTGAGGCCACCGTCCTTCTGCTACACAACTACGTGCGGCACAAGTACTCGCTGATGCGCAAGGTCTCGCACCTCGAGTTCATCTCACAGCTCTCATACCAGCAGACGCTACAGGAGGGCTCGTCGCTGGCGACGGCGCGATCGGCGGCGCTGCGGTCTGTGCGGTCACGCACACAGGCGTCGCGGGCATCAGTGCCGTCGGCTTTCTCGCCGTCGGCGACATCACCAGGTTCGGCGTCACTGACCGCCGAAACCGAGCACGGTGCGCTGCCTGAGCTCGCGGCGTTCCGGCCGCCGGACCTGCCGACTTCCAAGTGGAAGATGATGCAGGAGGAGGCGGCGCTGAATGGCGGTGGTGGAGCAATGCAGATCTTTGTGGAGACATGCGAGGCACCGCTAGCTCGTGAGCCGGGGGAGTGGCAGGCTGCGCCGTCAACGACGTTGCGGTATGCGGTCAATCCGCTGTGGCTTGTCCGCATGGGCGCCACCAAGGATGTTGGCCGCGAGACGCCACTGGACTCGTTGGTGAGCGAGGCTAGCTGCGACAGCCTGACGTCGTCGCGGTTTGTGCCGCGGCCACCGACAACAGCGTCGCCATCGCGACGATCATCGCTGCGCGGGGGGCGCGCCAAGTGGGAGGCGTCCAAGTCGCGCGCTTTACATGCATCAGGACGTCCGCCTGTCCGGGTCGTCCGCGTCCCAACCGGCCGCAGAAAACCATACTCGTCGTGGGCCAAGTTCCGTGCCCGCCACGCACACGCCGATATCGGCGAGGCCATGTCGTACCGCTTCCCGGAAGCCGACTTTGTGGCCACGCAGTCGACCAAGGTTGTTTAGCGGTAAGTGAAAGCATATGTAGTCCACCCGATTGCATGTGTCGTGCTATCGTTGGCGTCGATTGAGGCACGTCGGACGTGATCATGACGAGTACGGTGCTCCTCGTCTGCAGTCTTGAGGCCTCTGCGACCAGGTCGATCGAGACTGACGAGCACCTTGTCGTGAAGCGGGCAGCGGTGCGATCGTGAGCAGAAGAAGGAATACACCTTGCTCACAGGCCATACCATGGCCTCCTTGATGCCACATGCCTCGCACTCTCCTCGGCCTCTCTGATGGCGTCCAGTCCACCCGTGCTATTCCTGTGCGTGCAGCACCCAGTTGGCGGGCACACTCAACTGTGGCCACAGCCACAGCCACAGCCACAGCCACAGCCACAGCCACAGCCACACGGCCACACAGAAGCAGACGCAGACGCAGACACATACAAAGACGAAGACGAAGACGAAGGGAGACAGTCTCTTCCGTCCGAGGGAGCGTTCCTGTGGATTGTGACCGTGGTTGGGTCGTGATGGACAGGAGTGCTGCTGCTGCGCTCGGATATGGTATGTGGTTTTGTTGCAGATTAAGACGAGGGGAAGAGGTGGGGAGGGGGGTACTCATGGTGAGAATGGGGGATCGGATGATGGTGTGTGTGTGTGTGTGTGTGTGTGTGTGTGTGTCTGGGCACGATGGCGTGCCCGCACATGGCTGTGGTCGATCTGGTGGCGGTCGACCACATGGCTGTCATCGATCTGGTTCACATGGTTGTGATTGATCTTGTGGTGTCGACCACATGGCTGTGATCGATCTCGTGGTGGTCGACCACATGGTTGTGATCGATCTTGTGGTGTCGACCACATGGCTGTCATCGATCTGGTTCACATGGTTGTGATCGATCTGGTGACATCGTGCATGGTACACATCGCCTGGATCTCAGCTGTCGTCAACTCGTGTGTCATGCTGTTTAATAAGCACACGTTTCTTCCCTTTGGCTTCCACTTTATGCCCGCCACTATCTTTTGCCAGCTGATAGTGACCTGCATGGGCCTGCTTGCCGCCCGCGCCGCAGGTCTTGTCTCCTTCCCGCCCCCAAACCGTTCGGTCATCTCTGTCTACACACCGATCGCCATCTCGTACGCTTTCTCCTCACTTCTATCCCTCATTGCGCTGCATAGCCTCCCGCTGCTGGTATTCGCGGTCCTGAAGCGTTGCAACGTTGTTGGCGTACTCGTTGCTCAGCGCGTAGTCTTTGGCACCGCCATTCCACCCGCTCGCGCCACCTTTGCGCTGATCATCGCCTTTGGTGCCGGCCTTGCCGTCGGCGGCGCAGAGTCCGGCGTTAATGCTCTCGGCCTGGTTGCTGCCGTTGGCGCTATTGCATCGCGCGCCGTGCATCTGCTGCTGGTCTCGGCCCGTGCCCGTGCCCGCTCGCCTGTGCCTGAGAGCGCAGACCGATCGCTAAGCAAGGATGACGACTCGATCGTCACGCTCATCTTTTACTCGTGCGCACTCTCGCTCCCGCTAATGGCGCTCATTGCAGCGGCGTCAACAGACTGGACAGCGCTACGTGCTTACCAGTTCTGGGGCGAACCGGCATTCATTGTCGCCCTCGCCATCTTTCTCGTCGAGGGCATCGTGCTTCAGACAACGCTTCTGGTCTGCACCATGCGGACTTCTGCGCTCACCACCGCCGTCGTTTCCAATCTCAAGCTGCCGATCGTCACCTTGTTGTCGCTTGCTTTTGTCGGCAGCCTCGACTTTGTGGCCCAGCCTCGCATTGCTCGCTTCATCGCAGGCATGGCCGTCTGTACACTTGGCGGCCTTGGATACACATGGGCAGCTCTCAGCGCCAAGGCGTAGCGGCCTCACGGCGCAGGCGCCATTGCGACCACCAGGTCGTCGCCGTCGTCACTCGAATCAAACGATGACCGCGAAAAGTCGTCCATCGCCACATCATCAGCCGCCGGCTCGGTGTCACCTTCACCAGAGCCGCCTCTACCGAGCTCACCACGCTCCACAGCCGCATCCGGTCGCGGTGTTGGTGTGGCGGCTGTGCTCTCTCCGCCGTCGGCTGCTGCGTCGGACGGGCCGGCGGCATCGTCACCAGCGGCAGCGTCCTCGCCGCCGTCACTATTGGCCTCGCCTCCGTCGGCACCGCCACGCTGCCGGGGATCGCCCAGCGCCGCCAATGCGGCGGCGCGCCGCTCTTGGTGGTTGGCGACGATGCGGCGAAGGACTTGCTGGCGGTCGCGCTGTTGGGTGCAGTCCTGGCGGATGGACCGGATGAGGACGGCGGTAAAGACAATGCCGAGAATCCAGTTGATGGGAAAGAGGATGAACGAGAATACATTCCACGTCGAGTACGTGGGCCGGATCGACGCCGCCTCGACGCTGTTCGGATCAAACCAGCACTCATGGACAGCTTGCGTTCTCAGAGGGACAATGGCTAGGGTCGAGAGCTCAAACGGTGAGCCGTCGTCGTTGGGAGCACAGCCCCACAGGACCCGGCACAGGCGCTCAAACTCCTTCTTGTCCAAATCCTCCACAGTGTATGAAGTGGCCACCGTTCTTGCATCAACATTGTACTCCACATTGAGCATGACCGAGTACGTCGGTGATGACAGCGAGTCGTACGGCCTCACCCAACCCTCGCTCACCGAGCAACTCGTCGGCCTGTACGAGGTGACCTGATAAATGACGTCCACAGAAGTCCAAATGAGGAGAATGGCCACAAGGAGGTTGATAAAGGCCAGATACGCAAAGGCGAGCTTGGCCATCAGCGACATACATGATCCAGGATCGTTGACTCCGTTCCCGCCATGTCTCCGGATAACCACTACCTCCGCCATTCCCGCCAGTCCCGCCAGCCCCCGCCATGCCCGCCAGCCGTCCACCACCGTCCGACATGGCCCATCCCCGCCACCCATACAGCCAAGCCAAAGTCACCGAGCCCAACACGAGCCAAAGCCACAGTCACAACCACATGTAGTCATACACCATGAGTCTCCCTCTGTCCACTTTCCCGCTCTCTACATGTCGGCATTCCCTTCATTGGGACGTACGCATGGTGGTTGTCGGTGTTGCCCGGTGGAGGTGCAGGTGGCAACCGAGTCAAATGTCCGTCACCTCCTCGCCCCGCCCCCCCCCCCCCGCCCCCCCCCCCCCGACGCTCCACTTATGCTTGCTTTCATATCATACGCATATGGTTGCCTACACATTGTCTCAAAACTTGAGCTTGCGCATAAGCCCGGTGAGGTCCTCTAAGCTCCCACCGTCGGCCTCGTCGTCATCGTCATCGTGGTCGAGATCGTGGTCGTTGCCGCAGTCAGGCTGGCCTGCGGGCGTTCGGCGAGGGCAGTGAGTTGGCGACGCCGAGCCAGCATCAGAGGACGTCTCAGCGTCGTCGTCCGAGTCTGGACTGATGCTCCGCGGCCTAGAGAGGAGTGGGGTGACGAGATCGATGATGGTGGCCTGCGCGGCGTGGAAGACCTCGGTCGGCTCGCGGGCAACCATGGCAAGGTTGTGGAGGAAGCGCTCGAGACCAAGCATGGAGGCAAAAGTGACGAGGACCTCGTAGGTACCGTCGCTGTTGACGGTCCACTGCGCGACGCGGCGCTTGGTGTTGGGTGTCGCGGGGATGCGTGACCGCGCCTTGGCTCGTCGCTGCGGCGTTGACCGCAGCGTGCGCGCCGGCGGCGGAGCGGCATCAGAGCCGTCTTCCGCCGCTACACTGGCTGCCGCCGCACTCGCTGCCGCAGCTACGGCCGCATTGCCACCATCAAGGCTAAACGAGTCCCACGGCACAAACTTTTTGGAGCGACCGGCCGCGCGGACGAGCGACGGCTCGTCGTCGGTCCGCACCAGCAGCGTCGGCCGCCGCCGCGGCGGGATGGCGAGCTCCACCACCGACGAGGCGTCGATAACAAGCTGGAAGCCGTCGCGTCCGAGCCGAGTTCCGAGCTGGATGTCAAAGGCAAGGTCAAACCGCGGCTCGCGCGACGACTCGGAATGCCGCACCGTGGCCCGAAAGCACTTGCCGGCAGCCTTGGACGGCGAGTCGATTCTAGCCTTGGACGCCGAGAGCAGCGTGATCCGCGCCACTGCATAGTGCTGCCGCCGAAAGTGATCGCGAACCGAGGCCGAGATGGCCTCGCGCGCGTCCGGCCGCGCCTTGACCACCCGCGCCGTCATCGGATCCGCAGCCAGGTCGGCCACGTACGGCGCCAGGACCGGCGAGGCGAGCAGCTCTGCCGCCGACGGCCGATCCTCAGGCGCTGCTTTCACACAGCGAATGATCAAATCGATGAACGGCTCGTCAAGTTCTGACCGTGCACCGCTCACCAGCAGTGGGCGGAGCGAAGCAACCGGGTCAAAGCCTGGCCGCAGACCCAGCATGCCGACGTTGGGCGTCATGTCCATTCGCGCCATGTAGAACATCATGACGCCGAGTGCAAAGATATCGACAGCAGGAGTAAGCGTAGTTGCGCCGGCCAGTGCCTCGGGCGCAAGGTACGAGAGCGAGCCCGAGGTTGTGTCGACTCGCTCGATGCCGTTGGCATCGTCGGCCTTATCCCACGCCACCCGCGAAATGCCAAAGTCGCCCAGCTTGAGCACATACCGCTCGGAGCCCGACTCGGCGGCACTCGCTGTGGTCACAAACAAGTTCTCCGGCTTGAGGTCGCGGTAGATGAGTGGGCCGGGCGCCTTGGCCTTGCCAGACTTGTTCGGCCGGGGATCGGTAAAGGTCTGCGAGTGCAGATGATGGAGAGCCGACGCGATCTGAGCCATCCATCCGCCCAGCTCGGTCTGAGTAAACGGAGCGGCATCGTTGGCCCGAGCGGCAAAGACGTCAAACAAGTCACCACCGGAGCACATCTCCATGACCAAGCACACTTCGAGGCCCTTTGCTGTAGGCGAGGGCGGCTCGCGGACAAAGGCATCCTCAAAGGCCACGATATAGGGCGAGTTGAGCTGGCGGAGGATTTCACACTCAAACAGCGCCTTCCACACCGCCAATTCGGAGCCTGTGGGCATGACCTTCATCGCCAGTAGCGTCTGCGCGGGCGCGGCCTGCCCGTCGGCGCCGGACGCGCCTCCTTCCTCGCCTGACTTGGCCGTGCCCACCGGCCGCACCGCATACACCCGCCCCTGCCCGCCACCACCGAGCTCCCGGATGACCTCATACTCGGTCGTGGCGGTGTAGTTCGCAAATGTTGTCCGTAGGTCGTCTCCACTCACGCTCACAAACATCTCTGTCGCCTAGCCGTGTGCGCAATGCCCCTCACCGCCGTCGGCCTCGCGCGCAAAGTGTCGTTCGCTTTGACGACCTTTTCCTTCAATGTGGCACACCCGGTGGCGATCACGATCACGATCACGATCACGCCAGACCTGGCACCCTCTACCACCCACTCCACCCGCACTGGTGACTGTTGGCAAGGAGGCATGGAGTATGCTGGACGTGTGCGGCGACTCTCTGTCTTTTCCAAACGATCAGCAGGGCTATCTCCGGCTGTATCTGCCCTCGCCCAAGGAGACGGCCGTCGGTTCTCGGTGGCGGCCTCGGCCGTTGTTCCACGCAGCCGAGTCGGCGGAGCCAGTTCTGGCGGCGAAGGCGATGGGGATGGGGATGGAAGTGGAGGAGGCTTTGACACGTCACATTTGGACGACTCGTTCTCGTCGCATTTGATGAAGTACACCCTCGATCAGTACGAGGCCAAGCAGGAGCACGAGGCCAAGTCTGTGGTCGAGCGGTACGAGCTGGAGCGCGAGTCGACGCTGGAGCAGCAGGCCATGGTCGAGGCCTTGGCCAGCGGGGCGGTCGATGGAAAGGAGAGGAGGGCGAGGAAGGACGACGACGAGTGGGCCGGCGACGACGCGTCTCTTGGCGAGCAAGGGAGGAGGAGCGCCAAGACAAGGCTCACACCGCTTTCCGAGGCGCTTGACGGGCGCGGGCTGTACGGGCGGTATCCGGTGCGGCACGGGACCGGCGTCCATCGGTACACCAACGGGTCGGTGTATGAGGGCGAGTGGAAGGACGACAAGCGAGATGGCCGCGGGAAGCTGGTTTCGGCCTCGGGCGAGGTGTACGAGGGCGAGTGGAAGGCCGACAAGCGGCACGGGTTCGGCAAGCATGTGTACGCCGATGGGCGGGCGTATGTCGGCCCGTGGCGTCGCGGGGCGAGGCACGGGCTTGGAAAGCTTGTCTATGTCGACGGCACGGCTGTCCGCGACCGGTGGGTCTTTGGTAAGCGGCAGTACGACGAGAGCGTGATGGGAGAGGACGAGGCAGTGGCGCTCGACAAGCACCACCGGGCGGTGCTGGCGCAAGGCGGGCGGGCGAGCGGGAGCCGGGGCGACGACGAGGAAGGGGAGCAGGTTGCTGGCGCAGAGATCCGCGGTGGCCTTTACACCGGGGAGATGCGAAACGGAAAACGGCACGGCTATGGCGAGTGGGTCTCGCACTCGCGGCTGACCGGCGAGGTAGAGACGGTGTACCGCGGCGAGTGGGTCAATGACAAGCGCGAGGGCCGTGGGTACTTTCGCGACGCAGCGATCGAGTACGACGGCGAGTGGCGGGCCGGCAAGCGGCACGGTAAGGCGCTGGTGACGACGCTCTCGTCTGGCCAGCGGTTCAAGACCGTGTGGCGGGCCGGCAAGCGGGTGGCGTTCAAGGCATTAGACGCACCAGCGACGCCGGCGAGCAAGCCACGGCACTCGCACGGAACGCGAGTCTTCCGCACCGGCGCTGAGTATGTAGGCGAGCTGGAGTTGCGGTCGTCGCCGGCGCGGTAGGAGAGAGAGAGAGAGAGAGAGTGTGTGTGTGTGTGAGGGGTGTGTCATGTGGTTCATTGCTGCGTCTTGTTGGTGAGGGCCTTGAGCTTGCCCATGAGCACGTCCGGGACGGCCGAGATGTTGATGCCGTTTTCAGCGACAAAGTCTGCGAGCATGAACGAGGCGGCGAGGAGGCCACCACCGATGCCGCCGACAAGCATGCGCTTGGCGCCTGCGGTGGACTTGTAGATGAGGCCCGAGGCGACGCCGGCGAGGATGCCGTTGTACGTCGGGTCGATCGGAGTGGTAAAGTTGAGCGAGGCCTCGACAATGTTGTACATGAGGGCGACGGCGGCGAGAGTGTTGGCCATGGGCGGGCCGCGGCGGTTGACGCCGTTAAGCAGCGAGTTCATGCGGAGCTTGGTCGACGATCCCGGTGCCTGGCGGAGGCCCTCGATGGCGCCCCAGGGCGTGCCCAGCGCCAAGCCGCCGACCCATGCAAATGCGGTCTGGTGCAGGAGCTTCTTGCCCCACCCGCGCTCGGCCTCGTCGGGGTTGACAAACTCAACCTTACCGGCGCCCATGGGGTAGAGCGAGGCAAACGGATCGAGGTCGCGGGGATCCAGATCGGTGTACTCACCCATGCCGGCGATCGCCAGCTGCTTGGGCGCAACCTGCGGGAGCGACGACGCAGAGTCTGCCCCGTACCCGGCCATGCCCGACGAGCCTGCGCCCGGCGCGTGGTACTCGTACGACGAGCCCTCGTATTGAGAGGTATCGCCAAAGAGACCACCACCACCGCCACCAGCAGCCCCCGTCGATCCAGAGCCATAGCCACCGTGGCCAGCCGTGGAACCGTAATCGCCGTATCCGCCACCCGTCGACGAGCCGTACGAGCCAAAGCCACCGTCGGCACCACCGCCACCGCCATAGCCACCATAGCTTGCACCAGCCGCGCCACCGAAACCACCATCATATCCACTGCCACCACTTCCAGCAGCAGTTGAAGAAGATGTTCCATCATATCCGCCATACCCTCCATCATACCCTCCGCTTCCGTATCCGCTCCCGTTGGTCGTCCCGTATCCGCTCCCGTTGGTCGCCCCGTATCCGCTCCCGTTGGTCGCCCCGTATCCGCTGCTGTTGCTGCTGCCGTAGCTCATGGTGAGGCAAGGTAGGTGCTGTCACAGAGTCTCCCGGGCCTGGTGATACAACAAACAACAACGACAACACACAAGCAAGATAGAACTCCTACGTTCCTCTGCTCAATACGTGTTGGTGTGAGGTGGTGTGAGGTATTGTTCCTTGCCTGTCCCCCCTCCCCCTTCCCCCCCCCCTGCCCCTCTCGCTCAAACTAGTGTGATGATCCGTCTCGCGAATTGGGTCGTTTGACGCGTTTGTAACTGCCCAGTCCCACCAGCCCAGTGCCACACGCCCGCTGATACTTTTACAGCAGCTGCAGATGAGAGTGATGGACAGTGGGTGATCAAAATATGAGTGTGTGTGCGAGAGAGAGAGAGAGAGAGAGCGACAAGGAAAGAGAACCAATCGAGCTACCCCCGCTCGCTGCTTTCCGCAACCCGTTCTTATTCGAGTACCACATCCGCGGCAATAGCACAGTGCTGGTGACTGGGCGACGACGATGGCTGGGCAGCCGCTGCTAGTCGTCCCTGTTTCAACTTGTGGATCCTCCAGCAAATGCAGCAAGGGAGTTGGAGAGCATGACAACCCGGACGGCAGCCTTGAGCTTGCGCTTGGCATTCCACTTTGCTAGCTGCTCGGGGAACGTCTCCAAGACGTCTTGCGAGGCCGAGGTGCCCGAGATCCACGGATGTGCCAGTGCCTGGCGCGCAGTCAGCCGCGCGGCCGGATCAACCACAAGCAAGTGGTCAATAAGATCCCTGGCAGACGCCGACACGCCGTCCCAGTACGGCGCCGGGTAGTCGTAGCGGCCCTCGAGGATCTGGTCGAACAGGGCAGGCATGTCATCCTCGTAAAAAGGCGGAAAGCCGCAGAGCAGAATATACATGATCACCCCACACGCCCACATGTCGACTTCCGAGTCGTACCCGGTTGCGGTCTCCTGCTCCAGGACCTCGGGCGCCACATAGCCCGGCGTCCCGCACGCTGTCGCCAGAATCACATCCTCATCGAGCATTTTGGAGAGGCCAAAGTCTGCAATCTTCACCACCAGCCGCCCGGACTTCTTCTGCTCACACAACAGGTTCTCCGGCTTGAGATCGCGGTGCACAATGTCGTGCTCGTGAAGGTAAGCTACAGCCTCTAGAATCTGGGTCATGATCGACGATGCGTCGGCCTCCGAGTACGCTCCATGGTCCACAATCATGTCAAACAGCTCACCTCCCTTGACATACTCCAGCACCATGTCGAATGACTCATCAGAGTCAAACACATCAAACAGCCGCACCACATTCGGATGGTCGATGGCCTTCATGATCGACACTTCCGACTCGAGTAGGCCGATCGAAAACTCTTCATCGTTCTTGTCGACATGCTTGATAGCCACCTTTCGTCCCGACTTGCGGTGCTTGGCAAGAAAGACCGTCGAGAACTTGCCCCTGTCCGCCAACCCGCCCGTCCGTCGCCCGACCGTCGCCCGTCGCCCGTCCGTCGCCCGTCCGTCGCCCGTCGCGGGTCAACCGCCACAAACCCCCACCGACCCACCGACCACCCCAAGCCACCACGTACACCGCCCGCACACCGGCCCACATACCATGGACTCCATAAACATGTTAGTCAATACCACTCCCTCTCTCTCCCCCAACCGTCCCACCAAGACACCACAGTCGCCCCGAACCCTGCCCCAACGTCCCGCCCTGAGCTTCCTTCGGCAAACAACCGTCTCCCTTCACCCCTTTCCTTCCCTCATCCGCTCCGCTCCCCCTCTCCATGTCCTTCGTACTCGCCAACAGGTTTGATGACCTTGTAGTGGTGCTTGAGAGTGGGCATGTTTGCTCGATGGCCAGTCGACAAGTGCCTCGTCCTGGTTCTGCTTCTCTCTCTGCTCGGCTGCCGAGTCTGCACCGGCGCCCGGCTGGTCTCGAGCTCGGCGCACGCGGCGTTTCCACTTTCTGTGTCGGGCTACACCACGCGGAACCGGATCATCTCGACATAGCCGGAAATTTCGGGCTTGGATGAGCCAAAGACTTGCGACGAGGCGTGCCGGGAGCGCGTCTCGGGGACCGACGCGGGCGGGAGCACGGGGGCAGGCGCATCTGCAGCCGCAGGTGCGGGCGGGTCGAGCGCCGGCGCCAGCAGCGAGTCTTGCGAAGTGTTGGCGCCTTCGAGGATGGCAAGGCCCATGCGGGGGGCTCGGGCGCACGGGGACTTGGTGAGTCGGCATAGCCGACGAGATCGGCAAAGGCGGCCCAGACGCAGACGGCAGTACCGGACTGGACGCCGCCGAGCTGTTCCCACGTGGCGTCGGCAATCTGGACGCCGTCAGCACGGCGGAAAAACGGCACGCCGTCGGCATCGGTAGTCGGTCGCTCGACTGCAAGTCGGATGTCGACCGCAGATGGCAGGCGGAGCTCGAGGTGTACGCCGCCAGAGGCAAACGGCAGCGACTGGGTCTTGGGCAGATAGAGGAGGCCGCGCTTGGCGTGGAAGAGCTCTGCGAGAATGGGAGGATCGGTGGTGGAGAGGTCGGCCTCGAGAACGGCGTGCATCTCGACGTTGTTGCCCTCACACAGCCGGTCAATGATGCGCGCGTCCTCGTTGTCGATGTCTTCCCAGCCGACCCGACCTTCGAGAACCTCGTACGAGACGAGCTTGGCAAACGTGCATGGCAGCTCGTTTTCGCCGACCTGCGCGGCTGGCACGAGGTATTGGCCCCAGACATGGACCGGGCCTGGATCGGTGAACGCCACCGAGCCCGAGAAGATGCCCCCGTCATCGTCGTTGCGTTGGAGCTCAACGCCGTCGGAAAGGAGCCGTGGCTCCGAGGCGGCAACAACGAGGCCAACCGCGTGCGGGACGCGGATGGAGAACTGGTGTGGGATGAACCGCGAGAGCTCATAGAAGCGCGGGTAGAGGACAACGCCAGACTCGTCCACCATTCGCGGCGAGCGAAGCGCAAACTGGACAACAGCCTGCGGCGGCGCATCGCAGTTCATGTGGTACGACATGATGGGCTTACGGATTGTCGACCGCTCCTGGCACGTCAGCACATCGAGGAGCGAGCGCGAGTCGGCTTGGGCCGTTGCCGCCGGCATCGGCTGCGCCTCGTTGAGCAGGTCTGGCGTGGACGCGGTCGACGCGATCTTGTGCTCGTCATACACCGAGTTGGCGAGGTACATCTCCTCGTCCAGGCTCCAGGCAAAGATCTTGAGTTGGAAGCGACCGACCCGGGTAAACACACTCACAATGTTGTGCAGCGTGCCGTCGGTCTGCACCATAGTTGTTGAGCGCCCGTCAAAGGCCGAGAGCAGCGCTCCGTTGCCGTCGCACAGCTCGGCCCGGAGCTGGATCCCGGGCGCCGACGAGAGAGCAAGCGATGATACCGTACCCAGCAGATTGCGCTCGTGGTGCCGGACCCGGAAGCCGAGCTTGAAGAACCGCTCGTCGAGGACGACCTCATCCGAGGCAAAGCCGGCCTGCACGCCACGCTGGATGCGGCGATACTGGTAGCGGAGCTCTAGAAAGACGACCAAACCGATGAAACACACGTTGGCGGCAATGACAAGGACAACCAGAACGCCCACAAAGGTGGTTCCGGCCTCGTCGCCCGACTTGGACGTGCCGAACAAGATGAGGCCGCAGGCGACAACAAAGGCCGAGCAGGCCAGGTGGATGATTTCCAGATTGTTGACACGGGTGGTGAGGTACGGCTTGACCAGGATCTGTGCGATGAGGCCGCCGATGAGCGAAAACAGGGCGATGAGCGCTTGCGGCAGAACCGAGTTAAAGACAAGAATGCCGACCACAACGCCGAGCTTGCGAGCGAGGATAATAACCTCCCACCCGTACCACTGCGGGCGATAGCGGCGGTAGAGGAGGCCAAACTTGACAATAGTAAGCTCTTGGAAGAGAGAGAGGCGGTGCCAGTACAGGATGGTGGAGAAGAGCAGCGGAATGCCGATGCCGTACAAGACCATGGCGCTGAGACCGACTGCCAGGTACTTGCGCCACTCGCGCGAACCGCAGACGACGTCGGGCGCCTTGACCATGGCACCCGAGACGCAATCGAAGACCTCAAAGGTGACCGAGAGCAAGACGAGGTAGCACATCATGAGGACGGTGACAAAAGCATTGATCGAGGCGTTGCGGAGAAGGACGGCAGTGGCGCGGGTGACGAGCGGGAGCTTGGCCAGCCATGGGTGTTGCACCTCGGAGATCGAGGCGCGAACTCGCTTGTAGAGAGTGAGGCAAATGAGAAAGCCGCCAAACAGGACCAGAAACATGAACGGGATCGAGAGCTTGAAGAGCCAGATGGGAAAGTAGTCGACGGCACCGCCGGCAAAGGCGCATTCGGGCTGAAAGACGTTGATGTTGAAGGCAAAGACCGAGAGCGCGCGAAAAGTGGCCTGCACAAAGCCGGGCCACTTGAGGTCAAACTCGCCGATGATGGCGAGGACCTGCACAAAGTTGAAGCCGACAGCCATGCCGGTAAAGTAGGCGGCCGACTTGCGGGCGAGCTTGACAAGAAGCACCGCGAGTGCAACCATGAGCAGAAAGAGAACGGTGAGGAGGATCGGCGCCGTCGACGGGCATGGCTCGCACAGGCCCTTGTCCTTGTAGAACCCGGGGACGCAGTCGGAGCAGAGGAAGCCGATCGAGCCCGCGCGGCAGTTGCCGCCGCGGACGCAGACCGCCGGCGGGCGGCACGGCACAAAGTTGGTTGAGTTGGCCTTGTCATCGCCGTAGCCAAAGCCGTTGTCGGGGACCGGAACTGTCAGGCCTCCGGCGCAGTACCCGCCGACCGGGCAAGGGTCGCACGGATCGGCCACGGCCTGGTATGTGTAGAACGTGCCCTCGCGGCACGACTCGCACCCATCGGTGATGTTGACGAAAAAGCCCGAGGGGCAGATGCAAGTGCCGTCGTCGTTCGTCGGCGTCCGCCCGTTGTCGCACGGCACGTCGATTAGGAGTCGCACTCGAGCCGCAGCGCCATCGCCGGACGAATCGACTGCCCATGTAAACGAGTCGTTGTAGATGCCGCGCTTGAGAAAGATGGGCGCAACGCTACCAGGGAGCACAACGGGCAAGTCTTCCTCGTCGAGCGGTGTCGTCGTGCCGGGAAGCGCAATGGCGGCGATGGCAGGAAGGCTCGTGATCGAGTACACCAGCACCGAGCCGGCGTCGACGTCTGCCCCCGGCAGCGCAAAGTCGACCACGCCACTTGCGTACTGCGCCTCCGACTTGAAGACAAGCTGGGCGTCGGCAGCCGTGGGCAGGTCGTTGACATCGGTGATGGCGATGGTCAGCTCTTGGATGTTGGGCATGGTGTGGTGCTGGACAAAGACCGAGCAGGTTGAGGCGGCCTCGTAGTCCTGCGGCGGGAGAGTGACCTCGAACTCGGTGGCCGACGTCCGGGCCCACGCCAGTGGACCGGCGCAAGTGGTGGACGCGTCGATGACAAGATCGCCAGACGGCGCGGCGCCAATGAGAGTAAAGGTGAATGGGGCGTTTTCCGGCGTTGTCTTGGTCAGCGGGAGCGAGTCAAAGATGGCGTGCATGCCGGTGATAGTACCGTTGGGCTTGTACACAAATGCGGCCGGCGGAAACGCGGGGTTGACCGAGGCCACGACTTCAAAGTAGCCGACGCGCGAGGGGATGACTACTACAGCATTGCCGTTTCCGGAGAGGATGGCTGGTTGCGGGGCGCCAACCAGGTCGCCTGTGGCTGGATCGACAACTTGCAGAATAAGCGAGAGCGGGCCATGGGCACCTGGTCCAGCACTGTTGACGATGCTGATGGTGACAAGCTTGCTGCCACCGGCCTTTGGCGTCGATGCCGAGAATGGCGAGCCGCTCAGGTATGGCGTAGGGAGTATATCTAGCACGGATGAGTGGAGCGTGTCGAGCTCGGGCTCGGTCAAGGCGTGGTCGTGCATGATGACGCCGAACAGGAGGCCTTCAAAGCAGCGAAAGGTGTCGATGGCGGTAAAGGCGTTGCCACCGAGGGTCACGTTCCAAACCGAGTCTGTGATGCCGACGTATGAGTCGTTGAAGACCGAGGCAGCGTTGAGCATGTCGATCTTGAAAATATAGTCGGAGCCGCCGTCCCCGTTGTCGAGGTTGATCGAGTATGACGCCACGTGGACGGCGGTGTCATCGACACGGTAGGCCGGGATGTCTGTTGAGCGAAACTCCATTTCACCTGATCCAGAGCGGCCGATGCCAGTGGCGAGATATCCGCCACCCATCGACATGCCCCAATCGCCACAGTATCCACAGGCATCGTTGGAGATGATGTGTCCGCGTGCATGCCACTGAGCCGGCGGCGGACCGTTGTTGCCGGTGTTTGTGGAAAAGACGATGGAAAAGGTGATGGCTGACTTTCCGGCCAGCGGGTTGTCGCCCGGCACCATGAACATTTTGTTGCATGCCGCCGGTCCTGTAAAGTGCAACGCGCTGATGACTGTTGAGCCTGGGAAGGAGACATTGCGGAGAATGGCTGGAGTAGTGCCAAGGCCTGGTGCAGAGAACGGGATGCCGGACACTGAGTCGATCCATGTGGTGATGGGGTCGTTGATCGGACCAGATGGAGCGGTCCATCGTGCGACGACTGTGATGGCAGGGGGAAGGGAGTGAGTGGCTGTCAGGTAGTTTGGGGGCGAGGAGGTGGGAAGGGACGGCGACGTACGTGCACCCGAGGCGGTTCTTGTCACGAGGGCGAGTGCCAGAACGACGAGCAGGTTGAGATGTGTACGACGACGAGCAAGGGCAGACATGGTGCGCACTTTTTGGAGGGAGGAGGGGGAGGGGGAGGGATTGCCTTGCCTCGGCGCGTGCGTGACCGGAAGCACGCGTCGCTTGCGAAGCGCACGGGACGGGCGTGGAGGCGTTGGGGATGGAAGTGAGGGAAAGGAGAGGAGGGACAAGAGGAGGGGTGGAGTGAAGGAGATGAATGAGTGTAAAGGTGGGGTAGTTGTTGAGTGGATGTCGAAGGAGGGCTGAGTTTGCGGACGGAGGGGAGGTAGGTGGCCAGCAGCGGGCAGCGGCGGTGGAGCGATGCGGGGCGGGGCGGTGGAAAAAAAAGGTTGCGGTGATGGCCATAGCAGTCGAGAGCTCTGCATGTCGGAGGATGATTGTTATGGAGTGGCGGTGAGGGATGCAATGTGGGATATTGTAGAGGTGATGACGCGGTGGGCGGTCTCCCAGGCCGAGTCGTCGCCAGGCGGGGCGGCGAGGCCATCCTTGCATGATTTGACAAGAAGAGCGGCAAAGCGCTTGATGAAAGCGCCCTGATCATCGTCGACAACCGCGACAAAGCCCTGCAATGAGGCGAGAGTGTCACGGAGTTCGTCACGAAGCTCTGCACGGGAGACGATGCGGGCGTCGATGAGAGCGGCGAGCGAGTGGAGGGCGGCCTTGACAGCGGCAGTGTTGGCGGCGACGATCGAGTTGGCGACCTCGTCAATGTCATCATGCAGCAACGTTACTGACGAGGAGGTGGCTGCAGTGGGGAGCTCGCTCCACTCGTCGTCGTCATCCGAGTCATCAAACGGCGAGGAAGCAGCTGCAGTGGCATCATAGCCATGATAGTACGAGGCGACTGAGAGCGGCGAATCGCCGGGAGTCGGGGTGAGCGGCGGCGGAGCGGCGAGTGAGGTCGGCTCGTCAAAGTCGTCGGGCGGCGGCGGCGGGATGCGCGGCTCGACGGCAGAGAGAGGCTCCGCTGGAACGGATGCGCTTGTCTCGCCCTGATCAAGGCGAGCGCGGAGGGCACGGAGGCCGTTATCGCGGGAGGACGGCTTGTGGCGCCGCGACGGCTTGGGTGGCGGTTGGCCGAGCGATGGGGGGCGAGTAGGCCCCATGTCGGCATTAGAGTCGTGCGGAGGAGCGGCCGAGTCAGCGTCGGCCGAGTCAGCATCGGATGTTGGCGGCGTGTCAGCCTGGTCGTCGGCATCGGTTTCTCAGGCACGGCGGGATTGATGCGGGCGACGCCGGCGTGGAGCTCTTCGGGACGGATGGACGAGTGGTAGATGGACTGGATGAGGGCAACGCCTGGATGGCGGCGGGCCTTGACCGACCGCAGATCGCGAAGCCACTTGCGCTTTGTGTTGGGCGAGTCGGCCATGAGGCGATACTCTTTGCCATTGGCGACGTTGGTGATGAGGATGAGATCTGTGTAGCGCGAGTCGTCCTCCCCATCGGCTACCAGTAGATCGCACATGTAGATGGCGTTGCGGACAGTGTACTGATACTTGCGACGGAGCACGTTGGGCTTTGCCCACACCAGCGCGTTGTCGAACAAATAGAACCGGCGTTCCTGCACCTTGCGCCCGTTGTCCCCGATCTTGATCAGGTCTCCTTCGCGGACAAAGACGCGCTCATGCAGATCGATCTCCTACAAAGCGCCAGAGGGTAATGAGTGGTGTCATAGTTGTATGTGTACGTAGTTATGTGTGTGTGTGTGGGGGGGGGGAGGGACAGCAGACGGACGGGAGACGTACCTTGAGACGATCAACTTGAGTAAGAAGAGATTGTACCTTGCGGGAGTTTCTCAGCGCCATACTCCTAGCCTCCTTGAGTCTATCATCGGCATCCATATCCATGATAGCATCCAACTTTTTCTTTCTCCCTGCCTCTCCCACAAGTATGCCCTCGCGTGTAGCCATACTGTGGCCAGCAGAGGGACGGGGCGGCCGACTGCTTTTCAGGTGTGGCGGTGTTGTTTGCGGTGGTGGAGGGGAAGGACGGTAAGGGTGGGGAGTGGGAAGTGGGGAGTGGGAGCGGGAGAGGAAGAGAGGTCAAGGGAGTGTGTGAATGAGTGAGAAGTATGTGATAGGTATGTGTTTGCGGTGGTGGTGGCGGCAGTGGTGGTGGTGGTGGTGGTGGTGGCGGTGGTGTTGATGGTGCGGGGGAGGGGGTGCGGTGGTTGAACCTCGGTTGGCGGCGGGGCGGGTTGCCGTGCTGCGACTGCCTGTTGTAACCGTCAGCGGCAGCGGCAGCGGCAGCGGCTGTGGCAATGACGGCGACGGCGACGGCGACGACGACTGCGACACCACTTGTCTTTGGTTGGAACTCATGGACAGTGGTTGCAAAGAGGGGGTAGATGTCGATGTGACGGATTATGTGGTGGTGAGGGCGGAGACGGGCGGATGCGAGGTGGCGGAGGAAGTCCTGCAAAGGCCAGGTGGTGTGCTGGTGGGGCATGCGGACGACGCCGAGAGTGGTGATCATGGCGGTGATGGAGAGCAAGAACAGGAAATCGGCACTGTTGAGAAGGAAGAGAAAACAGGCAGCGAGTCTTTGGAGACGCCGCCGGCAAAGAAGGAGAAGCGCAAGCCGCTGCCGCGGGTCTCAGCCTCACCAGGGGTCATCCGGTCGGTGGACGATGCGCAGCCGCTCGGCACGGCACACGCTAGCGGGTGGGACTGGGACTTTGGAACTCTGGGCGGTGGCCTGCGGCCTGTGGCGCGGGCGCTCGCGCGTGGTGTGGTGCGGATCTTTGCCACGTACGCGTCGTCAACGTCGCACTGCGAAGGCTACCCGTGCCACTCGCGATCATCGCTGGCCGGCTCCGGCGCGGTTGTGGCGGTTGTCGCGCACAACGACCACCCGGGCGAGGTTGATGTGTATGTGGCAACAAATAATCACGTGGTGCCAAGCAAGCACTCGGGGCTCAAGCTCAAGCGGGTGGAGGCGACAGCGGGTGTGTACGCGCCCAAGGAGCGCGACGGACAGTATCCGCGATGCCTTAAGCTCTCGTCGCACACCAAGGTATCATCGTGGCTCGGCAGCGCGTCGCGGGCGGCAGAACTGACACGTGCAGCCGATGTGGCATTTCTCAAGTGCAGTTTTCCCGAGTTTATGGCCGCGGCGCTGCTTGTGCCGCTGACCCCGGCCGGCGGAAGCGGCGTCGGCGACGAGCTCGTCGGCGTCGGCTATCCGGGCTCGGCAGTCCTCGGCTACGCCTTTGACAGCATGTTCAAGCCATATCAGCGGACCGCAGTCCATGGCGCAGCCGTGAAAGCGTCGGAGCCGGACGCTTTTGCCCACACTGCACCGTGCAAGAAGGGCCTCTCCGGGATGCCGATGGCATCGGCGGCGCTCCCGCCGGGCACCTTTATCGGAGTCCATCGCGGGCGGCAAGAGGTGCGCAACGGCGCCGCAGGAACGAGCGACCAGCCGACAGCCAACGCCGGTATATCGGTCACTGCTCCGACCTTTGCCTGTGGCCTGCTCTCGTACGTTGGCCTTCCAGTTGTCCGCGCCTCGGGCAGCGAGTACGACCGCGCTGATGTGGCCGAGGTTGTGGGTCGACTCGACCCGTTCTTCACCGCCTCGAGCGAGATCCTCTCTGCCAGCTGTGGCAAGCAGTGGAGGGCGTGGAAACGGGCGGTTGCGGACGTGCAAGTCGAGTCGCGGAGCGAGGAGCAGCAGGCACGGCAATGAAACGAGAGCTTGGCCAGCGGCCGAGCTGGGCTGACCTCCCTACTTGACTTCCTTCGCGCGGTCACAGTGCCTCTCGCTACAGCAGCCGAGGGAGCGAGCATGTCAGAAAGCCCGGTGTCGCCAAGGTCGGAGCCATTGTCCCCTCCGGCAACACCGCCACAGGCGACAGCAAGTACAGAGAGGGAGGCGCTGACGCTCTCGACAGGGAGCGTGCGGTATGAGTTGGAGGCGCTCAACTCGCCGCTGCCGTCGCCGGCCCGGGCAAGAATGTCAGGCGCGTGGGTGAACCGGCTGTTTGGAGAGTATGTGAATGGTGATGGTGCTGAGGTCCGTGGTGTGTTTGCAGGGACAATGCTTGTGGGATCGCGGCAAGAGTACGGCGATGTGGTGGTGGTTGCCGGCGGGGTGGCGTTCGTGGCGGCGCGGCGGCCGGCGAGCGACTCGGTCTTTGTCCCGGCTGGGCAGATTCTGGCGTGCGATGCCAATGCCATGGCCGATACACATCGACCGATCACCTCGCTTGTGCTGCTAACCGCTGATGGCGCCGAGTACATCTTTGCGCCTGTTGCGCACCCCGAGCGAGCTGAGGAGCTCATCCGCTCGGCGATGGAGACGGCCGATGCGAACGGCAGCGTCGTGCCGTATCCGCAGAGCCCGGTCCGAGGCAATGGACCGGATGTGGACGATGACGCCTCACTTGCACTTGCGCTCGCGCTTCAGAACGAGGGATCGCCGTTCGGGTTGCGGTCGCCGGTGCGACAGACAGAAACCCGGAGTCAGACGAGGGGAGTGGCGCGGGCACCGACAGGCTTTCCCAAAGGCCTCGCGTGCTACTCTTCGGTGGTGGCGGACATGCCTGGGCTGGAAGTGGCAGACAAGATTGTGTTGCCGGCGTCTGTCCTGAGCGAGCTTGTCGAGCTCGAGGTGGAGGCGAGGCCGTACGCGTTCCGTCTGGCCAAGCCCGACGCTAGCGGGCTGTTTGGCAAGCGAACCCATGCGGGAGTGCTCTCGTTTACGGCGCCCGAGGGCACGATGTACCTTCCGTACTGGATGATGGCGAATTTGGAGGTGGACGAGGGCGAAGAGCTGCAGCTCCAGCTAGCGACGCTGCCGAAAGGTCGCGGAGTGCAGCTGCAGCCTGTCGAGGCCGAGTGGCTTGACGTGGCGGCCGAGCTCCGTGAGGCGGTGCTCCTCGATCAGCTCTCACGGCTGCAGTGCCTCACGCAGGGCGACGCGATCATGTTGCGGTGCGGAGCGCAGCTGTTTGGGTTCAACGTTGTGGCGACGGATCCGTCGCCGGCGATCTCGATTGTCGACACCAATCTGGTCACCGACGTCCTCGCTCCGATCAACCCGCCAGCGACGCCCGAGCCAACGCTCCTTCCGGGCAAGGTTATGGTCGGCGAGGTGGATGCCGGTGAGTACGCGTACTTTGCGTTCAAGGTTGTGCATCCGCATGGATTTGAGCTCGAGGCTGTGCCTGCGCCGGGCTCCTCGGGCGACCCGGACTTGTACGTCTCGAACGTGGTGCGCAAGCCGACTCGCGCTCACTTTACTTGGTCAGGCGTCCAAGTCGGGGCGGGGAAGATCCGGGTTACCAGCGAAGACCCGTCTTTTGCGATCGGGACGTACACGGTAGGCGTGACGAGTTTGGAGGCCGCAGCGGCGTTTGAGCTCAAGTACACACCTCTCGACGCGGTGGCAGCCACAGCTGCAGCTGCAGCGGCAGCGGATAGAGGTGCGGGCAAGGCTGGACCGTCAGGCTCAGGCTCTTGCACAGACGATGCTGCCGGCGAGACTGACGAGTGTCCCCATGCGGGCGGCGGGTGCGGCGAGCTATCTTTATGATGCACGAGGTGCAGTGCGGGAGGCGCAACGCGCGATGCAGCGAGTGCGGGGTGTTGTTGGCGTGGGTGCACTGTCGAAGCACATGATTCTCGAACACACCGTGCTGCGGTGCGAGTGCGGAGCGGAGCTGCAGCAGGACGAGCTAGCGGCACATCGGCGGACCGAGTGCCCCAACAGGCTTGTCGCGTGCTGGTACTGCCCACTATCTGTGGCGGGCTACGAGTTTGAAAGCCACGTCGAGTCGTGCGGGGCGCGGACGACGCGGTGTATGCGGTGCGGGTGCGACGTGGTGCGGGCGACGATGGGCTCGCACCTTGTCATCGACCATGGCCTCGATCCGTCGGAGACCAACGTGCGCGAGGAGCTGGTGGCGGCGGCGACACAGCCGTCCGGGTTCACGCCGTCGATGGGCGGGTTTGGTGGCGGTGGGGCCGGACCGGCGTTTACAGAGCCGGCTACGGAACCGGTGCCCGAGCCGGCGCCAGTGCCGGCGCCGGCGACGCCCACGACGGCGGTATATTCGTGTCCGATGTGCGGGACGCGCGAGAACTCGTTTGATGCACTCTCGGCCCACTTTGTGGCGTTTCACGCAGACCTGGCGGCGTAGCGCGGAACACAGCGAGTGGTAAAGTGGCTAGAGGTGGTCCCAGTCGTGCTCGTCATCGTGCTCATCAAGCCTGATATCAGCGTCGCCGTGGGCCGACGCCGGGCGCGGGGTGCAGAGGCCACGGGCGCAGCGGGGGCAGTCCTCGCTGCACTCGGAAGATGAGAGACACGGTGCATTGCATGGCTTGCGCGGGAGGCAGAGCTTGGAGCGGAGGTCGCACACTGGACAGGCGTGCGGATCGCAGTCTGCCGACGAGGCACAGGGCGCGCCACAGGCGGCCGGTGCCGTGCAGGCATGGTCGACACACTTGGTGCATGCATCAGACGAGGCATGGCGGACATGTTCCATCGTCCCGCCACCACACATATCGTCATTGAGACAAAAGCCGCCACAGTCTTGCGGCTTACGGCAGATCGGCTGAGCGCCGTCGGCAGTGGCAATGCACGCGCCACATGGAGCGCTGCAGTAAGCGTGATCAGGACAGACTGAGCCACAGTGGCCAACCGCCGGCCGACAGACTGCAATGCCCGAGACAAGCGGGACGCAGACCGGGCAGGCCGACGAGCAAGCGCGAGCGAGGCTCGGGTCGCAACGCTGAGAACAAGTAGGCGGGGTGGTGCAGGCCCCGTCGACGCACAAAGAGCACGGTTCGTCATCGTCGGCGGGCCCGGGAGGCGTGATGGACTGAGATCCACTAAGAATACCCTCGGACGTCACATGGGCATATCTGTCTTCTCCCTCAACGCTTGCATCGGCCTCAGCATCAGCCACCGACCGAGTTGTCGTTGTGCGGCGCTGCGGGCATTCGTCCGACGATGAGCATGGCGAGTCGCAGGCCGTTGTGCTTGCGGCGGTGGAGGGGAGAAGAACAGCAACGAGGAGAACAAGGGGAGAAGAAGGGCGAGGGGAAGGCGCATGTGCGTGTGTGTCTGTGTCTGTGTCTGTGGAGTGCGGAGTGGGGAAGTGAGGTGTGGAGTGCGGCGAGGGCGTGGGTCGAGGACAGGCTGGGCAGGCTGGGCGGCCGGTGGCGCACAGTCGGCCCCAAAGGAGCGGGAACGCACCCACCCATCCTTTTGACGACGATGCGACGAGGACGGCGGCGGGCCCTCATTGGGCGCCCAATCTTTGCCTTGATCTCGGTTGTACGTCAGCGCGCAGCGGCAGGTCATCGCGGGCGACTCCGCCAATCGGCAAGATGTGTGGACATAGATGGTCAGGCCGTCGAGGCAGTGGAGCGACCAATCGACATGCAACTAGGACGTTGATGTGTTGATGTTCGAATGGGGGGAGGTGTTGATGGCGAGTGGATGATGTGGATTGCTATATCCCTCTGGTGATGACGAGGGACTCTGAGACAGCGGCAGCTGCGCAACGTCGAGGCTCGCAACGTAGCGCTCGAGACTTGGGCTGCGCGTGCGGAACAATGCGGCGATACGCGGACTGCAGACGAAGCTCGAAGAGAGCCAGGCAGCAGCGGCGAGACGGATCCGTGAGCTGGAGCACTCGGCCGCGGACGAGCGCGAGGCAGATGAGCGGTTAGGAGAGGAGCGGGATGCGCTGCAGCGCCGATGCGGTCATGCTGCGGTCTGAGCAGATGCGGGCGGCGCAGGAGAAGCATATGATTTCCGTTTGGGACGGCCAGGCCACCCAGCGACCGCCATGGCATATTTCGACTCCCACACACACGCACACAGGAAGCAGTGGTGGTGATGGCAAGCAGACACTTTTCTTGTAGTAGTAGTAGTAGTAGTAGTACCAGTAGCGGCTGTTTCAACATGGGAGCATCGAGCAGCAAGATCAAGGCCAGGCTGGAGGGTGCACCTGTGGTGGTAGTGGTGGGTGCTGGCTATGGTGGCCTGGCGGTGGCCAAGGCTCTGGACAAGACCTTCAATGTTGTCCTCATTGACCGAAAGGCATACTTTCTCCACAACATTGGTGCTCTACGTGCATGTATGTACATGGCGGTCGTGTGCATGGAGGCATGGTGTCCCGTGGTCTGTAGCAGATGATAGAGCTGGATGTCGCGGCGGGTCGCTTCGGGCGAGGGAAGGGGAAGGGCATGCGGAGCGAATTCCGCCAGTTGACGGCGGATGCGGCGGGAGCGGCGGGAGTCGTGGGAGCGTAGGAGCGAGGAGGTTGACTCATATGTGTGATGGAGGGTGTGGGTGGCGAGAGCAGGTGTGGAGGATGGATACGAGCACAAGATCTGCATTCCATACTCCAACTTGCTCGACTACGGGCATGTGGTGCAAGCCGAGGTGACGCGGATCTCGCCCGGCGGGGTGTACGTGTACGGGCGGGACGAACCGATCGACTTTGACTATGTGGTCATTGCGACGGGAACCTCGTACGCGTTCCCGTGTAAGATTGCCGAGCCGGAGATGGAGGACGCGACCGGGCAGTACACCGGTGTTCGCGAGCGGATTGCAGAGGCGCAGCGGATCACGGTTGTCGGCGGCGGGCCAACGGGCGTCGAGCTCTGCGGCGAAATCAAGGAGACGCATCCGGACAAGGATGTGACGCTCATCCACTCGCGTGGCGCGCTAGTGCCGGGCCCGCTCCGTGATGCGTTCAAGAGCAAGCTGCTGGAAAAGGTGCAGAGCATGGGGGTCGAGGTCATGCTGAACGAGCGTGTCAACCTCAAGGAGTCGTTCTCAGAGCCCGAGGCTGTGTCGGCTAACTTTGTGCCCGGCACACGCCAGCTGACGCTCGAGTCTGGAGCGACGATGGAGACGGATCTTGTGTTCTTCTGCATGGGAGCGCACGTCAACTCCAAGTCGTACGAGGCCGACTTTGGCGGTGTGATGAACGACGACGGACGACTGCGGGTCAACGAGAACCTGCAAGTCGAGGGCTTTACCAATGTCTTTGCACTTGGCGATTGCAACGATGTGGCGGAGATCAAGCTCGGATACGCGGCACAGAACCAGGCGACGGTTGTGGCCAAGAACGTGGCGGCGCTGCGAGCTTCCAAGGCGCTCAAGGCGTACACGCCGGGCCACCATGTTATGATCGTGACAGCCGGACGCAACGGCGGCGTGGCGCAGCTGCCGGTACCTGGCGGCAAGGTCATGGGATCGCGGTTTTCAGCTATGGTCAAGTCCAAGGGTCTCTTCACTGCCAACCAATGGAAGCTCCTGCGGCAGTCGTTGAAGGATGCGGCTGGGCCGTCGGGCGGCGACGAGGATGTCGAGCCGGATGCCGTCCCGCGCCTTGCGCAGGCCATGCAGATTTCCGAGGAAGACGCCGAGGAGCTTCTCCGCGGGCTTCCGGTTGGCGATCACTCGGGCGAGTCGTTTACCTAACTTGGCAGGACGCCCGGCTTGGTAGAGTAAAGCCGACCTTTGCAACAAGCATTAGTGGTGTGTCGCGGCGTCATCGCAGCGGCTGAGGGTGGCGGCACAGGAGTCGGCGGCGGCGGGATGCCCATTCGACTTGAGCGCCTTGATGATCGAGGCGACGATGCGGCGGACACCCAAGCAAAGTAGCCGGATGCGACAACAGCTGTCTCGATGGCGGCGACGGCGTCAACAACATCGGCGACATCATCGCCGACGGCGAGTTTGAACTTTGCGAGCATGGCCGCAGCCTTGACGTGGTGCGGGTTCGAGGCAAAGGCGCGGGTGTAGAGATCGCGGGCGCGGGTGTTGTCGTTGATGCGGGTGTGGCAAAAGTTGGCAAAGTCCTTAAGGGCGTTGGTGTGTGTGGGGTCGGCGGCGATGGCGGAGGCGTAAAAATGCTCGGCGCGGTCGTAGTCGCGCTTCTTGCGCTCCCACACCATGGCGGAGTAGTACAGCGACCGGGCATGGTTGGGATCAATGGTAAAGGCACGCTCGTAGAGCCGGAGTGCCGCCTCGTGGTCCTTGTCGAGGTCCTCGACAAGGAAGCCGTAGTTGGTCAGCGTTGCCGGGTCGTCCATGACGTCAAGGACCGACTCAAAGTGAGCGCGGGCAAGGTCACGGATACGGGTGAACTCCTTGGTGCACCGTTCGTCGGTCTTGCGGGCGAGGTTGCGGGCCTGGATAAAGTGGAGCGTGCCTTCGGCATACGAGACAATGGTGAGCTGCTGGACCCGGGCATGGAGGGCGGCAATGTCGGTGTGAGCAAAAGGGTGTGGGACCGTGAAGATGGCAGTGTCGGTCGTCGCGGCTGCGTACGTCGACGGGACCAGCTCAATGCCGGCAAGGTCGACGACGCGGGCGAGGAGCAGGCCGAGGCCGTCGCGGACGAGCGCCTCATAAAGCGCTGGGCCAGTCGGTACGTCACCGCCGTCGCGCTCATAGACAGCAATATCGCCGCTCTTGCGGGAGCCGGTCCATGAGATGACAATGTGTGGGTAGCGGACCGAGACCGAGCGCGAGAGCTGGCCGTCCCAAAAAGAGCGGGACTGTTGTGAGGCACCAAAGACAAGGTTGAGCATGTTGACGACAGTGGCGCGATGCGGCTCTTCGGACGGAAGCTTGACCTTTTTCATAGTGGCGCGGAGGCGGGCGTTGAGCTCTGCGTGGACAGCACGGGCAACCATCTCGACCAGGATGCGCAGCCGCCAGGCAGGATCAGTGACGGCAGCGCGGACGGTTGCGAGGAACTTGAGGTTGACGCCAGCCTTTCGGAGGCGGACCGCAAGGCCACGCGGTGACGCAAGCTCTGGATCACGGGCAAGAATGGTGCGAAGCGGCGGCGGGCCGTCGTCAATGGCGGGGTCCATGACAGCTGGGCGCGAGGCGGCAGAGGCGTCGAGCGAGGCAGCAACTTCGGGGACGACTGTGTCCAGCAGCTGAATGTAGAGCCAGAGGATGTCGTTGTCACAAGAGTCGGCATCGGGGCCTGGCGTGGCAAAGCGTGTGCCTGCGTCGGACGAGACTCGGATACCGACGCGCTTGATAAGTTCGGGCCGGAACTTGGTCTGGACCGGCGAGAGGCCCGAGAGGGCCAGTCGTGGAATGAGCGGGAACATGCGTGCAAAGTCAATCATGTACAGGGCGCCGTCACGGCCGCGGTGGCCCTCGATGTCGGCGGGGCCGTAGATCTCGCGAGCAGTTGCGGGATCCGGCCCGGCAAAGTGCTTGCGGAGCAGGAGCTTGTTGGCAAGAGCATCCATGACGTCCGCAAACTCGGGGTCCGAGTTGAAGATGTGTGAGCCCGCGTCGGACGAGCCGTAGACCAGAGTCTGGTCGGAGATAGGGAGCTGCGACGAGGCGATGAGACGGAAGCCGCGAAAGTTGATGAGAACCATGAGCGGGAGCTGGAGGCCCGGAACGTGTGCATTGTACACGGCCTGCAGAGCGCGCATCTCGTCGGAAGCCACCTTTTCGGCTACCTCGTCGTTGCCATTAAACACGCCCGAGGCGTCGATAGCAAACTTGAAGAGAATACCGTGGACGACGTACTTGACGCCGCCAGCGATGCCACCCATGGCCACCGGCTTGATAGTCTTTGCTTCGTCGGGTAGGCCCATCTCGGCAATGATGACCTTGCCGTAGGTCTGGGCGGCGTAGACAAAGTCGCGGGCTAATGAGGCAAGGCGGAGGAATTTCTTGTGCTCGGCGAGGATGACCGAATCGTCAATCGAGTTGACCAGGGTCTGGTACTCGCGGTTCCAGTCGCGAGCCATACCAGACGCTGAAGTGACCCCGCTGGCGAGCTCGAGCGCATGGAGGGCGCCCATGACGTCGACCAAGGCGACAGCGCCCGACGCCATCAGGGCGTCGAGGATAGCGCGAGCGCCCGAGTCAGGGAGCAGGTCCAGGCCACGGGCAATCGAGCGTGGCAGCATCCACTCGGACGACGAGGTGTTGACCGATGTACTTGGCGTGGAACTCGTGTCCTGGTGGAGCGAGTTGGAGAGAGCCGAGTTGACCGAAGCCCAGGCCATTGAGGACGAGGTCGACGACGACGCCGCCGAGCGGAACCTGTCCTCGCCCTCCTCCAGCAGCTGTGACCAGTTCGAGGAGGTTCGCGAGAGCGCCGAGCCGGAAGGCAGGCCCGACGGCGAGAAAAGGGTTGGCTGCGGAGGCGGGACGGATGGCGGAATGATGTGGAGCGGCGTGCGTGCAGTGACAGGCGAGCCCGCCGAGTCTGCGTCGGGAGGAGGCGAGAGGGTGGGGAACACAATGGACGCAGGTGAGGCATATGGCGACTGAGAAGAAGGAGAGGCGGTTGGCGTGAGCGACGGAGCCGGCGAGGGTGCACCAAGGCTGAGCTGGTAAATGTCCCCGCCGGACATGGCTGACCGTGTGTATGCGGGGAGCGGGTGGAGTGGCAAGGCGTGGGGGGTCAGCGTGGGGCAAAGGGCGGCGACAGTTCAATGCTTGGCACGTTTGGCTGGCGGCTCGAGATCGGGCTCGGCTTGCTGGGACGACGTAGAAGGTAACGGCGGAGCGGTGGCATACTTGCGGAGCGCTTCTTGTGGGTCTTGCATGAGGTAGGGCTTGTTGAGGGAAGCGGCGGCGCCGGCCTTTTCGATGACGGCACGGGCGTGGGAGATGCCGAGCTTGCCCGAGTGGCCCTTGCCGGCGAGAGGGCCTTCGGCGCCGGCGGTCGCTTGCGCTTGGCAGTCGGAGCGAGAGTTTCACGATCCACAACGTCGGGAAGAAAGACCAGGGTGTCCGAGGCGTCGCGAACAGGGGCCTTGACGCGCACGCCTCGCTTGACACCGCCGCACGAGATCTGCTCGTCGTAGAGAGCGAGAAGCGATCCGTCGCCCATGCCGACGAACATCTGCTTCAGCGGTTCAGGATAGAGAATAGGCCCTGCATGTGTCCGCGACGAGAGAGGCTCCTGATGGACAACATCAAAGGTGACGGTGTCAACAAAGACGGCGCGAGCGGGCGCGGCATCGGTCGAGCCTGTGGTGAGGCAGATGAGGGCCTCCATGGGCGAGAAGGCCAGGCCGGCAAACTCGATGGGTGCAGCCAGGCCGGCAAAGACCTTGATTGGGCGATCAACCTTGCGGCCATCCCAGATGCGAAGTGAGTCGTCTTGGGCGCGCGCGACAAACAGACGGTCGTCAGCAGATACGAGCATGGACGTGATGTTGCCGCCGGGAATGGAGGCCGAGCCCGAGGACGGACGGGTAAAGAGCGGGCGGGCCGAGAGCTGTGGGGTATGCGAGCCGTGCATCTTGTTGATGACGAGAGCCGTAGGTTTGGTAAGGTTCGCGCGCGGGTCAAAGACTTGTAGCGAGCCATCGGCGCAGCCAGCAAAGAAGCGGGTGCCGTCGGCGTTGGTGGCAATGTGGGAGACAGCGGTTCGGGTGCCAGTCGTCGACTTGGTGCGCATGACCAGGGTTTGGCGGGCATTGCTGGATCCCGACGCGTCCCATAGGCGTACAGTACCATCCATGGATCCGGAGAGAACGCGCGTAGACGAGACAAAAACCGCGTTGCAGATCGAGCCCGTGTGGCCGGTTGTCATGCGCTGATCACGGATGTACGGATCACCGATGGTCGACGCAGCCAGCCGCGAACCATCCGCGTCGTGCAGTGTAAAGATGGACTCACCAGTAGCGATGACTGCGCGGGTGGGCGCCCAGAGTCGGGCGCAAATGCGATCGAGTGGACAGGCGAGTTGTCAGCAGCCTGAAAGACGCGCATGGACGAGAGGCCGGCACCAAGGAGGCCAAAGTCGTAGACCCGGACCGAGCCATCAATAGCGCCGGACCAGAGGCGATCTGCCGATGTCGGAGCTGCCAAGGCCGAGACCATGCGAGCATGAGCCGTTGCGGCTGGATTCTCGGGCGGCTCGGGCGTGCCAGAGGCGGGATTACGGGGCGGAGGGATGGCAGCAGGCGCGGTGCGTGACATCCAGGCGTAGGCTGAGAGGGGAATCGAGAACATAGCAACGGCGTCAAAGTCTGACGAGTCTGAGTCCGAGTCTGAGTCCGAGTCCGAGTCAGCAGCAGGCGCAGTTGGCGCAGCAGGAGGAGGCGGCGGGCGAGGCGGGCCGATCATGGGTGGGCGGGGTGGGCCAATGGGTTGCGCGGCAGCAGGAGCCGAGGAGGAGATGCTTGCTGAGGATGGAGGGAGGATGGAAGGGCGGTAAGTAGAAGAGGCCTTCTTGCCGAAAGAGGTGGGGAGGGCGCTCATGGTGTGGTGGGGCAAGTGGAGTGTGTGCGACTCCGGCTCTGGCGAGGCAGAGCAGGGCTAGTGGACGAGGGCACTTTACTGTGCAGCATACGAGCCATGGAGAACATAAGGACAACCGCGGGGAGCAAGATATATGAGTTGGTGGCGGCGGCTGTGGGCAACCAGAGGCGGCGAAGCGAGCAGCAAACAACTGGCGCAAACTGATGTCGATGGCGGGGAGTATTCGGCGCAACTTCGATTGAAGAGGCATTGTCTGCGGACGGATCGGCAGGTTAGCGAGCGCCCCTCGTCGTCCATCTCGCCGTGACCGTTGTCGTCGTCAGCGCCCCATTGGCAACCCGGTCGGACTGGGCCCGGTCAGTCATAGTGGGAGAGCCTTGTCCTCGCCCAGCCAGACTTGGGCCCGGTCTTGATCAGCAGCGACGCAGGCGGGCGGCCGTAGCTGATGGCGTGGGCCACGCAGTTGTGGGCTGCGGGGCGAGGTGGAGCGAGAGAAAGCTCAAGCCAGGCCATGGTCATGGCTGGATCATCGTCAGTCGGTGTCGATGTCGGTGAGGGGGC